CAGTACTATGTCAGGTGTTGTTTATAACATAACGATTCAGTACTATGTCAACTGCTGTTTATAAACATAACGATTCAGTACTATGTCAGCTGCTGTTTATAAACATAACGATTCAGTACTATGTCAGCTGCTGTTTATAAACATAACGATTCAGTACTATGTCAACTGCTGTTTATAAACATAACGATTCAGTACTATGTCAGCTGCTGTTTATAAACATAACGACTCAGTACTATGTCAACTGCTGTTTATAAATATAACGATTCAGTACTATGTCAGCTGCTGTTTATAAATAGAAGTATTCAATTCTCTGTCGTTATCATCTTTTCACAAAGAAAACTTTTCATCCCTGTGTGATTATTTGGTTAATTATTTGATTCATACAAACAGATTTTAAAAGAAAAAACGCGGTTCTATCTCTTTACATTAGTCATAAAGTCAACGTTTCGAAAGTAATAGTTTATTTAGACGTTACTGAAAAGTTCGAAGAATTAACAAAAAAATCCTAAGGTCTGCTTTTAATATTATTGAGTGTAAAATAATTTATTATATGATATTATATTACGTTCCAAAAGTTGTATATAAAAAAAAACGTAGTAAAATGATTTTATGTAGGTTATAACAATAGCCGGATTAAGTGGGGATGGGGAGGGGGGAGGAATAAAAGTTCGATTCACCTACGAATAAATAGATTCAACAGTACAACCACTTTTACAGGGGTACGCTCCATTGAACTTTGCTACTTTTTGAAACGTAAAATCTACACGAGAACGATATTATGTAAATTCATGTTAAGTAAACAGATGCCACCGAAACAATTATGAATTAGCATGTGTTAATGATTTCATTAAACAAACAGTATTTTTTTTTATATAAGATTTCTAAACTTAGTTACTTTCACTTTTATACGATTGCACGGCTCGACCCTGTGGTAGATCTATAGATTTTGGAGCTGACGAACAAGTTCGAATCCGTGCGATCCCCCAAAATATTTCTCACATTTTAAGAGGTGGGTGCATTATAAAGTGACAGTCAATCCCTTAGCGTGTATGGTGGATCGTGGGGAACTGCTGGCTGGTTCAGTTCCCTCTGGTCAGTAGTTAAATACTAGGAATGTCAACAAGACAGTCGTAGTAGCTATGTCATAAGTACAAACACAATCTCTTTCATAGATGCGAGCGTGTGTTGGTGCGATAGTCACATATAAATACTCTTAATGCTTGGAGACGGCTTGAATTGGTAATGAAGAAAAACTTATATTAAGTCTTTCTTATCCATTAAAGCCGTCTCCAAGCATTATTAGTCTCAAAGTGGGTTCCTCGCCATCGAATATAAATACTCTGTTTGTCATACGGATTTACACTGGTATCTGCTGTTTCAAGTCGAGCCTTTAATTATGTTATCCGATAACTTTAAAAGTAAAAGATAAAACCTATCATATATATATATATGTAAGGTAACAGATAGTAGAACGTTCAGATTGTCAGCAGTAAGGGATTTGATCACCAGCGGCTGACCTGACAGCCCTCTATCAATAGAAAGTAATGCGTTTCTTACGTGTTCGTCCAACTGCTTCCTGCTCTATCTCATTGTTTCTTCCTTTCATTTCGTGCATGTTTGTCGGAAGTTCTTCCGAATCAGGAGATATTTTGTTATTCATCAATGATACTCATTCGTTTCTACCAGCTTCTACTTGTTCACAGACCGCCATGCGTAAATGATCTCATTGGATCTAGCGTCTATGCTTAAATGTTGCCGTTCTTCGATCCGTGCCAGGAAGCCAGTAAAGTGAAACCGCACCCTCACAAGTTCAGAATGTCTCCACTAGATGGCAATTCCGTGGAAACAATATTAACACAAAATTTTCACATTCATATTCAAGTAACTTGCATGTTGTGCAATACATCGATAAATAAAGTGATTCCTGTGTTGGACAATTTCCGCAAGTGAGTAAATGAGTACCTGATCCCTAAAAGTATAGTTATATTAATATATACTAATGACTACAGATCACCAGCTTCCATAATGCAATGTTCTCAATCTTATTTGAACTGCCCAAATTTTACTCAATCGTAAAAGCATCTTAACAATTCATAATAATTATTAATTACAAATATTCTAACTGTGAAGAAGATTGTTTTTTTTTTTTTGTAAAACTACACAGCCACATACGATTTCAAATCTTGTATTCCGTGAGAAAATTATTAAACACGAGAAAAGTTGTAAATATCTTAAATACATATTATTTAGCTGATTCAGTTTAAATATTTTATGTTAGAATCAATCTTTTATTGAGATGGTTAATACTTAAGATTAACCATGATGTACAATACGGTTTACATTACCTGGAAGTCAGAACGTAAATGATACATTCTAGTTATTTCGATGACGAGGAACCCACTTTGAGACTAATAATGGCTGGAGACGGGCTT